CTAGTCCATTATGAAGATGTAGTGCTCATATTCAAGATGCCAATTTGGTAGCCTACCTGTCAACATTTCTTTATCAAGAAAACAAGCTGCTGTAATACAAGTGTTACTCAGCTCTAATTGGATTGATTAGACACAGATGTGCTTCCTCCCAACCATCCGACATATTGATAGAGGCCAGTCATCATAACTATATAGATGCCGCATGGAAATTCAAATTTATTCCTACTCAAAAAGGAATTCTAAAAATAACATTGTGAAATTCAAAGCTAATGAATCTCCATGACACCAGATCAAATACGTCTCCTTTCGTTTTCAGGGAACGTTTTCCCTGGTGACCACCGATACACAATTCTTCTGGATTGCTTTGAGAATCAGAGCTGCTGAACGGATTTGGATGGAAGAGGATGATGCAGAGAATCTCCTGGGGAGTCTTTTCCTGGAGGATCAGAGTTTCTGGGCTCAGGAAACTAGCCCTTGACTCAGAGGATACCAGTAGCAGCATCAGCAGCATTTCAGAAGAACAAAGGCTTTACCAAAGATCAAGTTAAACCTGCAAGAGTAGCACCCCAATTTGGCAGTTCCACTCAGTAGAAAGGTATATTCATACGCGCTGGAAGCTTGCTACCCTCTACTGCAGTAAATTCTCAGCCAGGGTGCCAGAAGATCCTTTTAAGGATGATGTGCATAGGTGTTTGCACACCACATAGTGCTAAATATTGCACCATTCACAAGATAAACTAAAACATTTCAAAGGCATCCAGAGCATCAAAAACCTTATGAACTGTTGTGCTCTTTCCAAGTACGCTGTAATAGAAGAATTGCTCTATTATTTTTCCATAATCAAAAAATGAAAGCTGAGAGCTGGCATTTTCTGACGGGTGCCTTGAATCTAAAAAGGTTGAGAACCGATCTACTGCTACAAGTCAGTAAGTAACCAGCTTGGTGTTAGCAGTTCAAGAGGGTAGGGATTTCCCAAGTCAAGGCTCAGCAATGCTCAGGAGTCTGATGGAATGGCATCACTGGGCTTCCCAAGCTCCAGCACTGCAAAGATTCACAAGCCTATTCCTGCTCTCCACACCAGGCCTCTGAGCTAGTCAGGAGAAAGATGATTTCAGAGGTGGCAGTATCCCATAACTCTGAGCTGCTATATAATATCCATCTCATGAGTGATAGCTGCTTGCTCTGCTTTGCAAAGGAAAGGAAGAGCAGCCAGGATGTCCACTGCTGCAAGCTACACGTGAGCAGGAACAGTAGGGTCAAGGAAGCCTCTTATGTTAAAGCTAGATGATGAGGTCATACCTTCTGAAAGGACTGCATTAGTCTGAGCCAGGATTTCCTGAAATGGATGTTTATTTATGCCTTGTGCAATAGTTTCATGAAATCATCATTTCATAGTTGGTCGGGTCGGAAGGGACCTGAGGAGATCATCTAGTCTGACCCCCTGCCGTGGCAGGAAAGAGTACTGGGGGTCAAACGACCCCGACCAGATGTTCGTCCAGCCTTTTTTTAAAGACCCCGGGGTAGGAGCCAGCACCACGTCTTTTGGAAGTTGGTTCCAGGTCCTAGCTGCCCTGACTGTGAAGTAGCACCTCCTGATGTCTAGTCTGAAACTACCCCCTGCTAGCTTGTGTCCGTCGTTTCTTGTAACTCCTGGGAGTGCTCGGGGGACCAGGGACTCCCCCAATGCTTGCTGGTCCCCCCTGACTAGTTTGTAGACAGGCACTAGATCCCCCCCAATCAGCCTTCTCTTGTGGAGGCTGAACAGGTTCAGGTCCCGTCGCCTCTCCTCGTAGGGCCTGCCCTGCTGCCCCTGACCATGCGGGTGGCCTCCTCTGGACCCTCTCCATGCTGGCCACATCCCTCCTGCAGTGCGGCACCCAGAACTGGACGCAGTACTCCAACTATGGCCTGACCAGTGTCACGTAAAGGGGGAGGCTCACCTCCTTGGACCTGCTCAAGATACATCTGTGGATGCACGACAAGGGGCGGTTGGCCTTCCTGACTGCGTCCCCACACTGCCGGCCCATGTTCATTTTGGCATCAATAAGGACTCCAAGATCCTTTTCTGCCTCTGCGCTGATGAGAAGGGAGTTCCCCAGCCTGTAGGGCTGCTGCTGGTTCTTCCCCCCCCAGGTGCAGCACCTTACACTTGTCAGTGTTGAACCCCATCCTGTTCTCACCCGCCCACCCCTGTAACCTGTCCAGATCCGATTGCAGCCTGTTCCTTCCTTCTAGCGTGCCCACTTCCCCCCACATCTTAGTGCCATCTGTGAACTTGAACAGGGTGCTTTCTCCCTCCTCCCCCAAGTCACTGATGAAGATGTTGAACAGTGCGGGCCCGAGGACTGAGCCCTGGGGAACCCACTGCCCACATCCCTCCAGGTCGAATAAGACCCATCCACCACCACTCTCTGGGTGCGGCCCTCCAGCCAATCAGTGACTGATCTGACCGTGTAGATCAGAACACCACTGTCTCCTAGTTTCTTACTGAGAACGGGGTGAGAGACCGTGTCGAAAGTCTTCCTGAAATCCAGAAAGACTATATCCACTGCAACACCTGCATCCAAGGACTTGGTTACCTGGTCATAGAAGGCCACCAGGTTGGTTTGGCAAGACCTGCCCCTAATAGACCTATGCTGGTTGCCCCTGAGCATCACCTCCCCTGTCGACCTTTCCTGGACATGTGCCAGAATAATTTTTACTGAGAACGGGGTGAGAGACCGTGTCGAAAGTCTTCCTGAAATCCAGAAAGACTATATCCACTGCAACACCTGCATCCAAGGACTTGGTGACCTGGTCGTAGAAGGCCACCAGGTTGGTTTGGCAAGACCTGCCCCTAATAGACCTATGCTGGTTGCCCCTGAGCATCACCTCCCCTGTCGACCTTTCCTGGACATGTGCCAGAATAATTTTTTCAAAAAGCTTCCCCAGGACTGAGGTAAGACTCACAGGCCTATAGTTTCCTGGGTCCTCCCTTCCTCCTTTGTTTGAAGATGGGGACCACATTGGCCCTTTTCCAGTCCTCCGGCACATCGCCAGAGCGCCATGAGTGCTCGTAGAGCTGTGCCAGAGAACCCACAATGACCCCTACTAGTTCCTCAGCACTCTGGGGTGGAGATCGTCAGGACCTGCGGATTTAAATACATATAGTCCCTCCAGAAGTTCCCTGACAAGGTCCCCATTAACCCGAGGCCTGGGTGTGCCACCCACAGGGCCCTCGGGGGCGGCCAGTGGGGGAGATATCCGGGTCCCTCCTCAGAAATAAGGAGGCAAAGAAATTGCTGAATATGTCAGTTTTACCGTCAGGTGAGATGACCAGATTTCCTAGCGTGTCCTGCAGAGGCCCCACCTTACCTGGCACCTTCTTTTGCCCCCTATGTATTTGAAAAAGGACATCTTGTTGTCCTTGACCATTTCCGCCTTGGCCTTCCTGACCGCCCCACTACATTCCCGAGCACCCAAGCCATAGTCCTGTCTTGTGACGGCCCCTCCCTTCCATTGGGTGTACGCCTCCTTTTTTGTTTGGAGACGTTCCCGGATGCTTCTGGCGAGCCATGGGGGCCTTTGCGCCCTCTTGCCCCCTTTGACTTGTGTAGGGATTACTCCCCTTTGAGCTTGGAGGATCGTCTCCTTAAGGAACGACCACTCCTCCTGGACACCCAACCCCCTCCTCCTGGACACACAACTCCCTCCTGCTCTGGGACCTCACTGCTTCCCCCACTAGTTTTCTCACCTTGTTAAAGTCCACCCTCCTGAAGTCAAGGGCTGCTGCCTTGCTGGAAGCTTTTGCCACCTTGCACTGGATGGTGAATTCCAGCAGACGACGATCACCCTCACCCAGGTGGTCGAGCACCCGCAGACCCCGTAGCAGGTCGTCGCCCGTGGCCAGGACCAAATCCAACGAGGCATCTTCCCTAGTGGGGTTGGGCACCTCCTGGGTTAGATGGAGGTCCTGTATGTCAGTTAGGAACCAGCGTGAGCGGGCAGACCTGGCTGTCTGCTCCTCCCAGCAGATGTCTGGAAAGCTTAGGTCATCCATGATGACCACATCCTTGGACCCAACTATCTCTGTGAGCCGACTTAAGAATTCCTGGTCTCGATCTTCTCCTTGGTTGGGTGGTCTGTAGTAGACCCCCACCGTTACGTCCCTTTCCCCCGACCCCCTTGCACTCTAACCCAGAGCACTTCCGTTTCCTCCTCCTCTGACCCAGTGTTACTCACTGTGGATGTGTGTTGCTCCTTGACATAGAGCGCCACACCCCCACCCTTCCTGCATCATGTTGTGCTATGTTTATGGCACGTGTAATTTTTGGAAACTGGTGGGCCTTTAGCAATAGCCTTCACTGAGCAGCAAATAGGGCAACTGAACCTTATTAAATGGGGAAAAAAAAACTTCAAGCCAGTAGAATATAAACCACAACGTCAAACAGAGCACTGCAGATGCACACCGTGTTTGTGGTTCCTGGTTAGAGGTGTGTAGGTGCAGGGCGTTTCCAAATGCTGTCACTGCCTGTGGTGTAGACTGGCAAGGGAAGATGACATTTGTGGTTGCAGGAGTCAAGGAAGGCTCAGTGCTCCCATGGTCTTGGTTTGTGAAGTGGTAAGTACAAAGTGGATTGGTTAGAACTCAGAAAACCTGGATTTAAATAGTCAATCTTATTCTTGTTTTGTGTGTTCTCCTTCCTGTCCTATATGCCCCTTAGCACAACAAAGGTTATCAGTGGTTGGTAGTCATTAAAAACAACACGAAGCAAGTAGAGTCTTTCCATACATGTGATACCTTTTTGCTAACAAGAGCGCTCTCTCTCTCTCTCTCTCCACACACACACACACACACACACACACACACACACACAAGCAATTGCAAAGTTCTGTGCACTTGCTCAGATTCCTATTTTTACATTGAAAAATGGTGAATGATAAACTTTTTACTGAATGATGGTGAATTTTGTATTTGTGTTAAATTTCACTTAGATTGAACTTCAATTAAAATACACCAACATTTTAAACTTGTTTATTAGTTAACATGCTTATCGCTGCATCTATCCTAACATTTTTAGCTCTCAAACTGGTACACTAACAAAAACATGTATAACTAGTGAACAGAACTGATCGTTTCCAATTACTGCATCTACCCAGTTTTAGAAGTAGCAGCGCTCATCCTGACCCTCCATTTTTATTCACAGAATTAAGGAAACAAGATTTTCTGATGTTTCCTCAGTTTGTAACTGTGCATGAACTACTCAAACTAAAAGAGAAAATATTCTCAGCAATTGCAGAAGAGGCCATAGATCTCAAGAGCTGTTTTAACACAAACTCTGGTTCTAGGTGCTTAGAGTAGGGATATACATCAGTTCCCCAATCCTAGTTTGTTTAAAATATCTGTAGCAAGAGCATTACTTAAAATATTTTTAAAAATAGGAGTAAGCTCAGCCTTAATATAGACCACCCTTTAATTGCAGAGGTTTTAACAGGATATTTAATTGAACACTTAAATCTGATTTTTATTTTAAATTAAAGCAGCCAGTTTTCCTCCACGCTGGAGGTGAGATGTATCTGTGGCTAGAATGTGGGGATCCCTCCCAGCATGCACTGTTCCGTGGGCTATAGGATTGTTGGGTACAGTAAGGGTCATAGTCTGGGTGACATCACTGCATGGAAATGCTCTTTCACAAAAATGGTTTGCTTGTGCAGAAACTCCAATGTTTCCTTTCACTTCTTTACTTTCTCCGCAGCAGCCCTTGTTAATTCTGTCCTCTCTCTGCAAGAAACACCACACAAAAAAGCTCTCCCTACTTTCGTATTCTAATCCTTCTTTTGGGACGCGGACAAAAATCCCAAAACATTTCATCCGTCTTCCTTTTCTGACTGGAGATCTGTCAGCGTTGCAAGGTGGATAATGTTTCTGTCCGGGGGGCACAGTAGATCAGGTGCGGAAACTGGTGAGGGTGAGAAACAGAACAAGTAATTAGTGTAACCATGGCAATGTTAAGGAAACAAAATATTTTATCACTTTTGGAATGCTATATTTTATAGTCTTTTCCCAACCTAGGGTGAGCCTGGAGATGGCAAGATATTTTTCCAGATTGTTTTCCCCTCTAGTTAGGACCCCTGTAGCAATCCCGGGCAGGGGATGGGAATGAGGCCTCTAGGGACAGCAGGGAGGAGGTTGAATCAGTACACATCTCTGCAGGCTGCCCTTATGTGCAGGAAGCTACCCTGCAGTGATCACCAAGCAGCAGAGACCAGTTGTACTTAGAGGCATCTGGTACAGGATCAAGACGTGCAGCAATATTATTCACTAGAAAGGGCAGCTCCGGAGCAGCTGTAGGACCGGACTGCACAGACAACGTTGTCCGGACAGGGCTCGGAGAAAGCCAGCTTGTCTTGCAGCATTCATACAGGCTAAATATTCTCTTTGCTCCAAGTTCATTAGCACCTACAGATCAGCCTAGGATGCTCTGGATTTCTGCAGTGACTGCTTGGAACTGGTGGGGCTATCAAAGTGGAGAGTGATTAAAACCAACCCCTACACATTATAACAATGTCACCCTGAGATATATACTTTTGCACTTTAAAGCAAGCAAACCTCACCCTACTCCAACTGGGAAGTGATGTGGACATGATAAACCTGCCATTTCGGTAAGACACGTTCACATCCCAAGGTCTTTAACTCCTGCACTGCCACCAGCCTCAGGGAGGCAGAGGATGACTAGGAGCTTTTTCGATATTTCAAATAAAAGGTTCTCAGAGGTTAATTTCTACTGGAGTAGATGCTATTTTTGAGACGGAGGCTGCGATCAAGCTAAGTAGGGCTTAGGAAGGCTCTCAGCTGTTGCTAGGGGGGGCAGATTTGGGATATCAGGTACCTGGAACAACAAGAGTTACTTACTGGGAGAGGTCCGCCTCTGCAGGGCTGTCATGCTGTGAGCGCACACCTTAGTTTCAGGAGCCATCTGTCTTCTTTGGTGCTGCGCGGAGGACTTTCCAGAGAAGCTTCTCTTCATTGCAGTCCTCAAGGGCTCCTGCTGCACTGTCTGCAGTTCTGGGGTTGGCCTGCAGCTTCCTTGGCAAAACCCTGGCTCAGCTTATGACAGGGGCTAGTACCGAGAAAGGCTGTGTTGATCTCCTGGTCAAAGAATCCCATCAAGCTCCCTTCCTTTGTCATGGCAGTGAAAATAGTCGCAGGACTGCCCCGACCATCATTTGTATCACCATATGCTCCTATATCTTGGCATGCCATCAGTCGCTGTTATCCTTTTAGTCAATAAATACAGCCTGTCCACAGCTGAGAGAGCTAATCAGCAACCTCCTCACCCCAGACCAAAAAAATCATGATCTCTGCTAAGGGCCAAGCAGATGCATGAGGTTTGGCTAGCAGAGCACCAAGAAGTAGCTGCCCACTGCTGTGCACATGGGGCCCACCTCCCTGAATGCCACCATTGACATGGAAAGACAGCAGCTGGCCAGCATGACTCCAGTGCAGGAAAAGGCATCAGGTAACAGATAGTTGCATCCACATGTGAAGTGTGATGTGGGATAGCAGCAGGACTTCCTGCTGGCAAAAAGAATTAAGAAGCCTGGGTCTGCATGGATGCAGCTCTCTCTGTACTGGCTTAAAGTGAATTTAATCCATTTTCAGAGCAGATTAGCTGGTTTGTAAATGCAGGCCAGGTATGCTGAAGAGTTTTGTTTTTTCTGATTAAAACCCCTGGCATCCAAACAAGCCAATGCAAAAAAGCTCCTCGCCGACAGGCCTTAGTCTCCCATGAGCAATTGTCTAGACATGTGTTAACAAAGGGGTGGCCTCATAAGCCTGCTTCTAAACCCCTTGGGGCCCAAAAGATCAGAGCCATGTTGCAAGCTAAGAACCAGCATAGATAATTGCGTCCTTTGTGGTTACTCCCACTCATGAGCAAAAAAGCTGTTTTGGCTTGGACTGCTAAGTCAAATCACAGCTGTGCTCTGCTAGCCAGATGACATCAATTTTGACATCATCATACCTTGTTTTCCTGATATGGATGTGCCAAGAGTATTAACATTGGCCACCTCCATTTTAACTTGCCCACTTACCACTTTTTTTTTTTGTTTAAACCAGAGGTTGCTAAGCAAGCACAGGTGATCCAGATGTTTTTCATTTACATAGAATTGCTTCTTTAAGTTGTACAATAGTGGATTTCTTAGGCGAGTAGTCAGGTGACAAGTTAACAATCCAGCCAACAGATACTACAAATATTGGTCAGCTGGATATTTCACAGGTAATACAACAATCTTTTTGACGTGAGAGCTATGGTTTCCTACCTGCTTTTAGACCCTTTCACATCAGGGACACAGGGTCAGGTGGACTTAAACTACCAGTTCACCAACAGAAAGTGCTAGTGAGATACCAGTAGCTGGATCCTCAGTGTCAGTGGCTAAGAGAGCAGCAGGGAAGGGCACAACTAACTGAGGCAGGGGGAAAATATGCACGACACACCGTCTCCTTCCCCTCCCCACCAACTTATTTTGTATGAGAACTGAGTCTTCAGGATTTTTGCTCTATTTTTGCTCTATAGTGGCAAAGGAAAGCAATGCTGCATGGTGCAGAGCGATCTCCCTGCACGTACTGCAATGCATACTACCCCACTGCATATCACACAGAGATCGTCTGGAAACTGAATTCAAAAGTTTAACTTAGAAGCAGCCCTTAAAGCAGTGGTGCTCAACCTTTTGGTCCCACAGGCCAGATGAATGGCACAGGGTTGGTCCATGGGCCAAATCTAGCCTTGCAAGTCAGGATTGGGCCCCAGGAGCCCAGCACCTCCCTCTTTTGGCTCCCCACACTGGGATTGGGCTCAGCACTACCCCCAAAGCAGCACTGGCTGTGATCTGGCTCCTGATCCAGCATGCAGAGCCTGGGGATCCCCTTTGGTCTGGAGATTTGGCAGCAAGGGTGTGGTGCTACTGTTCCCCAGCCACCAAATTTCCAGACCCAGGGGAAGCCCTGTGCGCTGAATGATACACCCCTGCCCTAAAGGATTAGAGGATTGTTAATGAAACACTGGTCTCTTGATGCTCCCTGGAAAAACAACCACACTACATACTGAAAACGCAGTCTTGGGGCCACCAAATTCTACCAGGTGATGTCCGAAAACACCAGGAGCTGAAAAGATCTTTATGAAACAATGAATGTAATGCAATTGGTATGAATCTGTTAATAAAGGAAAGAACTCATCTTCTCCAAATAAGTGTAGGATTCTCCCATGTTCTTACACAATCTCTTCCAAGCAACAACGAAAAAAGAAAAAAAACCAAGAAAAACTGGAGGTACAAACACTTATTGTAGGTCTAAGCGTAACTCCAGCATAGTGTAGCCATGCTGGATCTAGCTTTAAGATATGATTTCAATCCAAAAGCTTGAGTATGATTCTACTCCCCATGTGCAGGAGGTTATTCAGATCCTGGTGCACATGGAGAACGGTGGCATCCTGGGTTGGCAGTGGTCTAGTCTAGTAGACTAGACAGACAAAACCAAAGAGGGCTTCTGGTTGCTTCCTGAAAGTCCCCCCCCAACACCTTTCCCTTTGCAACTGGAGGGACGCCCTGGCCCATGGCTACTGCGCATACTAGGCTGCAGCCTCTCTACCACCTCCTGAAGAACATTTTATTGAGGTCCTGCACTTCCCCCTGCACCTTTTATTTTATGCACTCCCTATCTGCGAACCCCATTAAGCCCTGGGACTTTCTGCTCAACCTCCTCCTGGCCCTGGCCAAGGTGTCCAGGTATCAGCTAAGGAACGAGGCACTGGCCAGGGGGAATCCAGGCAACTGTGGGACTGTCTTCCTTTACCCAGTATAACTCTGCCTGGAGATGTGCACAGAAGTTGCACAGAGTCCACTGGGTCCTTAGGTACATTTGAGGAGCAACAGGCACTAGCCAGAGTTCTTTGCCCTTTGGCACCTATAACCTACACTCCCCTTGTTTTCTCATCCTTTGTCCCAAGAATGTCGTTACTTTACATTCAGTGGCTTTCTAACCACTGAGAGAGGCTTGCCGTTTCCTGGTGGGCTCAGGCCCACCGTAAGTATATAATAAATAGACGCATCTCAAACAACATGAAGACACAACTCAGACCTAGCACCAGCCTCTACAGAGTTCCTCAAATACAAGCTTGAAGTATATTTTGAAAGTGCTTTATGATGCCTGAATGTTGCCATGGCAGGATTTAATTGTCTTTGGGTGCATTTGGGCACTTTCATCACTCAAGAAAAATCTAATTTTTGCCAGGTTCTAAGTGAGTCGGTACAAAATACCAAGCAGCAAAGCGGGACAGAATATGGGGCAAGGTGGACCTCTGGTCTGACCTCTTACGTTCTAAGTCTACTCTGATGAATTCTTTTTATCCGAGTTGGCTTATTGGCTTCTCCCTCAAAGCAAGAGGCAATAACATCCCCGGAAAGGGCCAGCTGCAGCTGAAAATGCACTGTTATAATACAGACTCAATGCAATGTTATTGGAAGGACAGGATAAATATTGAGTGGTCTAATGCATCTTTCTCCAGACAGACTAGGAAGGAAGTGAAAGAGACTTCAACATAGGAAATGCTTTCTGCAGTGAAAACGCATTTAAAAAATAATAATAAAAATAAGTCTGGATGTCGTTAGGGTTCTGTATTTACAAGGTTGGCAGAATACTCTTCATGTATAGGGAGAAGCTTGTTTTGAAAGCCCTAGACATATTTGCATCTCAGACCTATTCAGTGAACTTGCAACGCTAGTTGCCTATAGCAACACGAGGGAAATGCCATCTGACTGCTTCATTGGGACCACAATTTTAATCAGTGTTAACCAAGTGCACATCCACTCATGACTGCTGGTTGACAGAGACTTGACTCTTGAGCACAACTATCTCTTCAAGAAATAGCCAAGCAGCCAAATCTAGGTTTTTAAAAGAAAACACTTCCAGAAATCTGCTTGAGCACCACAAAAACCCATGCTCTGGCCTGTTCAGAGGCAGATCTATGCAATTCCCTCATGGGACAATGAACTTTCCAAAAATTTAGCAACACCAGCAGCACTTTTGCATCTCTCTTGCTTTTCCAAATGGCAAAGTCAAGAATTAGAGGGCACTCAGCATCCCCCCCCAGACAACTAGGGTTTTCTTTCAGGATTTTTCCTGTTGTTTCATTGAAGACAATGCATGTGATGGGACAGTACGGTACATCTAATTGAAAGAGCATACACCAGGACATTCAGGTAACAAAAGAAGTAGCAAGGCCAGGTAGGAAAGAAAGAAAGGCCTCCAAGCCACCTGAAAACCCTCTTTATGCATCATATTACATGCATGGAGCCGTTCAGATGGTCTCTGGCCTGCCTGGGGCAGAACCAGACTGCTCCATTATTAGGAGGAAGGGACTGGCCCTCTTCTGAAAGCCACCGTGTTGAGACAAGCTCCATAATGTGACTCAATTCAACTATTTTCTAATTTCAAGAAAGAACTGGAATAAAAAACTCCCAAGCTTCACTAAAAAAAACTTGCTTAGCGGATGGAGAACATAGTAATTTGCACCACTTATCCGGGGTCTGAGCAGCAAAGAAACTTCCCCTGACGGGACTGTCTGTATGAAGCCTTTTCACTGGACAGAACATCTGAATGAACACGGATGGTCTGAGGGTTCATGTCGCTGTTCATGACACGACAGCACGTCCGATGGCAGGGGATCAAGTATCACCGGTGTTAGCATAAATTGCCTTGGAACAGGTATTTTGCTTTGGGCAAGGAGAAGCACCCTTCTTTCCTTCCACTTTAAGGCAATGGAAGAGCAGCTTGTAAAGAAGGAAGATTGCACCTACTGAACCCCAAGATGGACCAGCTTACTAAAAGCTGACTGGCCAGGGTGTGCATACCGCTCCCCCGCCCCCCACACTTACCCAGCTATGTAATGCTTTCCTCAATAACCCTCTAAATGGAAAGCCTGAAATGAAGGCAATATGAAGCAGTCTGTACTCCAGTGCACTGGACTCAATTTTCTTGCCATTTTCCAGTTGGTCTAATAAAAGGTATAATTTTGGAAGCAAGAGTTCTAGTTTTTTGTATGTCTGGACTCTCTAATGCATTTTAATTTCCTTAAATCCAAACACTGAGCCCCGAAAGCTGACATTTCTCTTTGGAGGACATTAGGATTCCAGAAGGGAGCCGTCTGCATAGGGAAATAGGATGTGTCACATATTAAGAAAGAAAATGAGCTAGAAGAAAGCTTTTGAAGCAAATGTGCAAACCAAATTGCATTTGCCTTTCTCCTTCTCTTATCAGCTGGCTTTTGCATGGGAGGGGCAAAGGGCACCAGTGCACTGAAAGCCACCCTGTTGTGCAGCTCTGTTAACGGGAACTGCTGATCCAGGAGTATGTGCACATTCAGCTATGCAAAAATCCCCTCTGCCTGAGCCATCTGCAAGGGATATGGACTTCAAAGAGCAACTCCCCTGCAGATCAGAAAGGATCCCTGCCACTTGCTTTGCTGCTGATTTTGAACCTCGCAAGCTGTATCCGCCTTCAGAAATTTCAGTGGAAAGGCCACTCGTTACACAGCTCTGCCCCAGCCCCTCGGTGGTCTACTCTGGACCACCACAGTTGTTTGGCGAGAACGCTCAAGAAGGTGACTGGATTGAGATGTAGTATAGTAGTGCAAACAAAGTTCTGCTAACACGACCACCAGCATGTCTTGGGTACCAGTACATCCCTTCATTACAGCATCCGAGCAACTTGATCTCTAGTGAGGGAGGAACAGATTTACAAACTCCTTGCCAGAGGTCAGGCTGGACATCTGTGGCATCATGCCAGTGTTAGCACCCTAGACATTGGGCTAGAGTAATACTAGCAAATGCAAGCAAATGCAGCATGGGTTCCCTAAAAAGGACGTGGATTCAAATTCTGGCAGCTGAATTCTATTAGTTAAGCCATTACCAGGGACTGCCAGACTAGTAATGCTGCAGCACATACTAGTAGGCTGACTCTCAGACCTATCCAATGTAGTTGGTTAGCAATCAAAACTAAGGTTCAAGTTATTTTCCTTTCTCCG